GATAGACTTTATATTCGTCTTCTTCATAATATTCTTCTGAAGTATATTCCTCATCATTATATTCTTTCTCATAATATGGGTCAGTAAGATGTACATCTCTTGTATTATCATAACGAGGTCTTCTATCAGTTCCTCTTAGTTGTTGACGAGGTTGAGGGCAATATCTAGCTATGTGGCCTTTCCTGTTACAATTGTAACAAGTCATAGAAGACATATTTTGTCTGGGGTTTCTATTAGTATTGTTGTAAGATCGCTCAGTTCATCTCCTTGGTGGTTGTATAGGTTGAGCTAATAAAGCAGTCGTCAGATTAGCATAATTGATAGATAGCTATTCTAATTTCTTAGTGAGTTCATCCACTTCAGCATTAGTAACCACGTTTTTAGGAGTAGAAACTGTAGTAATACTAATATCTTTGGGTGCTTTTCCAGAGGTGAAATTATATCCAATTTCAATAGTTTGCGCAGAATTTACAGTAGCATTCAAATTGGCTGGATTTTGTGAATAGACTAACGGAGTATAAGCAGGATTTAGTTCCATGAGAAATATCCTTTTTTCTATGCATCATCTGTCAATCCTACACGAGTCACTAATTTCTTGAATTTATTAGCATAAGAATCTACAGACTCATCTGTTTGTTAACGTAGAGAAGTTAACTCCTGATACTATTGATTTTTCTTGGTCTCATTAATAAAACGAGCTTTGAACAAATCTACAAAGTTTTGGCCACCATTTGTTCCAGTATTCCAATGGTCTTCTATGGCAATAGTAACGCTATCAAACCAGTCAGCTGCTGCACCTCTGAGGTGTCCTCCAGCAAGGGCTTTCTTTCATGCTTCATCAGTCCATCTGTTGGTAATGGCGGCTCTTTCGAATGCAGTGAGCCACTCTACAGGATCTTCATTTTCAGCTCCTGAAAAATAGTCAACTTTGATAGTAGATCTTTCTCCTCTTTGAGCTAGTCGAAGTCGTTCACTAATATCTGTTAAGTGTTATCCATCAGTTCCAAAAATTTCTTGGAAAATGGCCCTCATTTCATTTCCTGTGGCCATGATTTCAGTTTCGACTAGGGATGAATTAGGGATGAGTTTGATAAACTAGATGCAGAAGGTGTTGAAGAAGCAACAAGACGTTGTAGTAATTATCGGTCTGCTGTAGGCCTTACTAGATCTTGTTCTAAGATTTCAGTATATATCCTTAAAGAAATAAATAGGGTAATAGGTTGCTGAAAACAGTTTGTTCGAAAGGATATGCCTTGTATATACAAGTATATTACGTCTGCTGAAAAAGGTCAAACACGATAGCGGATGCTAGAAAGAAGTTGGTAGATAACTCTTATTAGGCGAGAGTTACGATGTTCAGATTCAGGGGTACCACTAAGTTGTTCAAATAAGTTAAAGGCAACAATAGTTCTTGAGGTAAAAGTATCTGCTTGATATTCTAAACCAGTTCCAGAAATTATTAAAACTATTGGAAAGAGTTTCGATTAGAGGGGGTGGATAACACCAATGATAAGTATAGTCTTGATTAAGAGGTCTGTCTAAAAAGTGCCTAACTATATGCTTCGATGTAGTTTCAAAATTCATACACCTTGCTAGTCCTTCAGCGGTTCGTTGTGTATATCTTCAATAAAGATTAATCCTGGTAGGAATCACCACTTGTTAAGCCTAAACACTACGTCGTTAGGATAACAAAGCTTATTTGCTAACAGGGAGTTTAAGTTGTAAACTATGAAAGAAATA